TTCATCTTTATATGCAATTTCGTCTATTTTTTCGGTATTTATAATATTTTGGAGTGGAGGGATGTTATTTGATCCATTGTTAGATTTGATTAACATTTTCATTATTTTCCAATAAGTTTTTGTATTCGATACATTATTTAGAATAATGTGGTCTAAATTACTTTCAAAATGTTCTTTAGCAATTTTTTTTCATATTATTGACTCTATTTCTCTGTCGCTTGTACTTCAAAATATCCGATTGTTTTTTAGATTTAAAAGCCTGTTTTCGTAATCGATCTCTAATGCGTATTTCTCTCCTAAGCTCGCTATTGAACCATGGTTTGTCGTTTTTTCGTATAGTTACTTGTTTGGTAGGTATGCACTCCCTCGCAATGTTCAGAAAAGTAACAGTAAATATTTCACATAATTCATTAACATCCTTGTCATCGGGAAGAATTGCATACCAACAGCGGTATACTACTGTTGCCTTTATTTATATACCAATCTGTCCCATTCATTATTTTCAAAAATTTATCTTTATCCATCTTATCATATATCCACACTTCTCTTTTAAAAGTACGTGACATTGATGAGGGACACTCAAGAAATATTACTGCTGCATTGTGATCACTAATATCTGAGGGAATATCTAAAACATCTGATAAATAATATGACATACAGTCACTTATTATTATAGGATCTAAGAGTGTACTACTTTTAGAATCATGTGCAAAACAGTGTAGGCGAGACCATTGATTGGCGCGCTAAAATACCCCATTGACTGTGTCAGATTAGGTGAACGTTCGTCTGTAACGCCCACAACTCACGACGTATTTATTATAAACATTTAAACTGTGGGGTTGCCAAAGGGTTTCAGTATATATACGAACTACAGTGCACAGTATATTATATACATATTTTATTTGCGATCATAAAATGTACGAAGTCGTCCATTACTATGTAAATTGGGTCGATTAAAAAAAAAGCTGAAAATGTTTCTGTTGCCAAGGGTTTTTCACAAGTATAGTAGTTAGCAGAAAAGTTCACCAAACTATACATTTTACCTATTCAAAAACGTAAATGCAAATTCCACAAGGCTTGATCCAAATAGCCTTTTTATTGTCTAATAACTTGCAAGTACGAAAAAGACAGGACAGAAGTATATTTTGTCTATATGTTTTGTGTACGCACACTTTTTAAAGTTGATCATGCATTCGTTCTAAAATAAAATTTTGACCAGATAAAAGTTAAAAGATGACATAATTGGACATGCAACCGCAATTGTTAAATCGCTTTGACGTCCGAAAAAAAAGATTATAATCAACACTCAACACATGCATTGTAACTTTTAAAGCCAGTTAAATCCTTTTTTTTTTTTTGTTGAAAGAACGTGCGATGTCATAAAAATTGATTATCAAAACATAACGAAAACACAAGTAAAGAACGTTTACACTGAAATGCAGTCAAGTTTAGCGATTGATAATAATTATTCATTGATAACATTCTGGCGTATCACAAACAAACAACTTGTAACGTCTTACTTCATTGGCCGAAAGATTTAAAAACAACAACAATTGTGTGCACGTGAATTGACACAGGTGACCGACAATGGAATGTACTACGTTATTACGAACGTAAAAAAACAATGATTTTTGGTCGAAATAATTAAATAAGTATTTTGTGAATTTCAAATAGTGGGGTCGAAATATTATACTAATAATTTGTGTTATGTAATATTCTTTATGCATGCAGCACTTGTACCGCACTATGAAAAATATAAGGATAAAATAAAATACATGTGCCGCTTTTATATGGATGAATGTATGAACCACTTTAATTTCTTTCATATTGACGCTAGGTTATTATCCTGACAATGTCGTAGTTACTTATAATAAGGATCTCATAATACTGATCCATTTTAAATTTATGATGGGTTGCACATTCCTCTTTTATTGTTTTCATGCTATAAAACGAAAATAAAGAAGCTAAGCGTTTGGTCATTCAGAAATGACGTGTCATAAACGAGCAAATTGTCCCCGAAAGATCGTACCATGTGTGCACGTGAATATAGATGTACTATGCAATGTACTATCATGGTCACCACGAAATTCAAATGAATTCAGTGAAGGCATGTTGGTGTAAAAAGGTTTGAAATGTTTCATCGGCGAAGATTTTATTTTTGCATGTGTGGAACTAAAAAATAAATAAATACTTGTGAGAAATGTCGTAGTTTATAAGGAACAATATAAATGTACGATTTTGATTGGTTGAAAATTTATCCTTTAATTTCATACCGTAAGAATAGAGCTTTGCATAACATTGTTGAACAATCCGCCAAAGTAACGTGTGGCATGCGTGCGTATTAAAATGAAATACAAAATCATACATGTATGATAAACTTATAAACGAAATATTAAGAAATTAAGGATGACTACTGTAAAAGTATGTACAAAAATGGAGTCACCTTTTATCAATACATTTAGTGAATAACCACACTGTTTAAAACTGATTGTTTTCTATGCAACTATTTAAATATTTACAATATATAATTTTCAACCGAGGATAGCAAAACAGTTAATTATAAATTAAGAAAGTATATCGCTGGAGTTTATAAAGTACATTTCCTTCCACTGTGCCATGGTTTGCCATCTCCATTTTTTCTCTAAACAAAGCATGGCTGGTTACATGTTCTGAATTTACTTAGAATTTCGGGATTTTTTTTTCAAAATCAAGTAAACTAAATCAGAAAAAAAATCACACTATCCTAAAACTTATGAAAGAATATGAATAATGAACATGACAGTTTATAACACAAACCCATTTACTATAAAAATCGAGCAATATCTTTAGTATGTAATTTGGTTATTTTTGTAGTTAAGTACGGTTTCATTTCAAGTACAACGTTAATTCATCAAGTCCATTGAATAAAAGATAAGGCAGGGTGAGCAACTTGACAAAAAAAAGGCAGGATGACGATTTATGTAAAAAATCAGGATAAACGAATAAATATAGTCAGGACCTAACAGACTGAAAAATAGAAAGACAGGACAGAGATAACAACTAAAAAAAAATGCAGGACAAAATGTTTCATCCAAGTCCTTCACCCCAATCAAAATAAAATGGTAGCTCCCTTAATTCAGGACCAATTGAGAGGAGACAGTTGAATTAAATATTTCGACGTGACTGTTAAGATTAAAGTTTAAAATTTTACATGCACATGTATAAAAGCTAGAATTGCCATGCGATAATCAAGAACACAATCATGTTCGAGAATACGACCATGGAAGTTTTTAACGACCTTGACCGGCTACGTGAATACTGATCATTCCATTCAGCTTTATAGTACGCGTGTTCTATTTTCGCAGGTGTGAGGTCGAAGGTTTGAATTGACCAATGAAAACGATCGTTCCTTAACGAGTTAATCTAATAAAGTTTGTTTGACTGATTATGTTGCACGACCTTTCGCTAAGCTTGACCGCAGTTCAGTGTAAGTATTCAATATAAATCAAAACATAAAGGTTATTCCTGATTAGTTTTTCGAATTATTTTATTTAGGCGTTGAGACCCTTTGGTGACCTCACAGTTTAAATGTCTATAATAAATACGTCGTGAGTTTTGGGCGTTACAGACGAACGTTCACCTAATCTGACCCAGTCAATGGGATATTTTTGCGCGCCAATCAATGGTCTCGGCTACACTGTTATGCACATGATTCTATCAGTAACTCTTGTTGCTTTATCAATTACATTTCTTAGATTGAACAAGTCCATAGTGTCAATAAGTTTATTATTATTGACATTGAAAAGATCAGAATTTAGATCACCAGTAACCACTATATTTTCGTTTAATTGAAATGCAGTTTCGACTGCATGATTTAATCGTGCCCAGAAGTCAGTGTCCGCATTCGGTGGACGATATGAGTGACAGAGAAGGAAGTTTTGACCTTTGGCTCGTATTTCAACCCAAAGTGTTTCATCAAAGGGATTTTCTAGTTCACTTTTACGGACGATACCGATATCATCATTCACATATATCATCAATCCACCACCAAAGTTGTTTCGATCTTTCCTTATAATGTTATTGGAGGAATCTAGTTTAGTTTTAATTGATCTTCAGATACTCTAGGATCTAAATGTGTTTCTGTTACAGCTAGGACATCAAATTCGTCAGTGAAATTATTTAAGAATTCTAATTTGTTTCTAATACTACGGATATTTAAATTACATATTGATATGGATTTATCGATTTCACTAAATCTAACACTAGAGGGTGTACTCGATATGTTATTTTCATCTGGACCAGGGTCTGGTTCAATATTACCGACAATAAGAATAAAATGAAGTACAAACAACAGAAAGATAATGTCAATCTTGTGATTTATTGATTGTAGACAAGCTAGTGAAAGAACATAGAAGGAGCAATGTAAGTTAATTTTTAGTATTTCTAAATAAGTATAATAGTTTGAATTAATATAAGTACTGCTTTTCCTCTTGCTACTTGTAATAAGCCAATGGCTGCAGTACAAGTGACATAAACGTGTTGAAGGCGGTCACTACAAAGCAGAAGTAGAAGTAGAAGCCTTTGATATATATACATTCAGACTGATTTTTTACCATACTGTTATTTAAACTGGGAGCAATAGTTATAAGTTTCAGCATAGATATAATAGCCTATCGATGGTTACACTTGTATGCAAATTTGTCCGCCATTTCTTAAAATCACAAACGTTCCCGTAAAATCTGACATCACAATTTAAAAAAATTGACGTCATAATTAAAAAGTGATTGTTGCTTGACGTCAGAAGGTTATTGGGAGACAGATATATATAGGGTCATTCGGAGACAAAATTCTGCCAAATACCAAAAGGGTAAATACGTTGGCGAGGAAGGGAGTTGAAATAATGTTAAATTGATCGAAATAGAAGCTTTGTCAATTATCTATATTCAAATTGTACTTGGTGCATATGCAAACATGTGTCATATATCTTTAAAATAACACGAACAGCGCACCATAGATTACGACTATTGTATTACGACGACCGGTTAACGGCATTCGCATCCAATTTACGACAGCATGTTTTTGTGATCGCCTTCGAGAAAATACACAGATATTACAGCTATTTTAGCATTTATTCAGAGCAATTACACATTCAAGAAGAAGAAAAAATGAATATACGATGTGCAAGAGTAAGCAAGAATTTGAACGACAAATCTCGAATTAGTTTTTTTAGATTATTGATTTAGTCGAAATGATGAATAAAGTGTTTGTTTTATCCACAGGCACTAGACGTTCTGTCAATAGTAACCCTATAGAGTTATATCCCTGACTGTTCACCTAAAAAGATTATTTTTAATGAACACACTAAAACTCACATCAGATAAACCTGTTATTTTCCAAATTTCATTGAAAATCTATGTGTCAACCCTTGGTGTAAACTGGAAGTCTCGTTATAAAAGGACCCCACTGGAAATAAGTTTTACTAACTTTTGTGGGTCATCCTAAGATATTAGGCTACAGTGTAAAATCTAGTCAAGTTAAATTTTTTTTAATCTAGTCTAATCATATTATCAAAATATCATGAACATTTTTCATAATTTTATTTTTTATTTCTTAATTTAAAATTTTTAGTAAACATGTATATCATTTTAGTGTCTATAAACTATGTCTAGTGCTGTATCTGTGTCTTTGTAATATTTTGTATATGTCAAATTCATGCCTTTTTATCTTGAATAAATATATATATATATAATCGCGTTAAAAATTCCCAAAACTGGCCAGGGTCCTTTTTCCCGAATTACCCAGAAAAACCCTGTCAGCTTATGCATGTTATGTGTTTCCCCCATTTAAGATTTGATGAAATAGTGCATCCCAGGTATTTAGCTGATGTTACATGTTCAAGGTTATGGCCATGTGATGTGTAATTGTACTTAGATAGAGTTCGCTTCTTGGAGATGGTGAGTACATTACATTTGTCAGGATGGAACTTCATAAGCCATGTTGTTTCCCATACAGCGAGTTGGTCAATGTCCTTTTGTAAGTTTGTAGCATCTGCATTGGATGAGATTGTGACATAAGCATTAGTTTCATCATCAAACAGTCATACAGTTGATTGCCTGGGGCATGTCGTTTATATAAAACAAAAAAAGGTTAGGTCCCAGGACGGATCCTTGTGGTACGTTGGACTCTGCAGGTATGGAAGTTGATGTTTCACCCTCCACTACTTCTGACTGTGTTCTATCACTAAGGAAGTTGTTAATCCACTCATTTGTTTTACCGGTTATCTCATAATGCTTCAGTTTGTGGATGAAGAGGCTATGACTAACTTTACCTAATGTCTTGGAAAAGTCCATTATGAGACAATCTGTTTGTTTTCCTTGATCTAAGTTGCTAGTTACATCATCAATAAATTCAATTAGTTGAGATTCACATGATAATCTCCTTTGAAACCCATGTTAAAGTGGATACATGATGTTGTGTGTATCAGCATGACACATTATATGGCTAGTTATAATATGCTCCATTAGTTACCATGATATGAAGGTGAGAGAGACTAGCCTATAATTTATCGGATCGTATTTCTCCCCTTTGTGTACACTGGACTGATGTTTGCTGATTCCCAAATACTTGGCACTTTGCTTGTATGATATGAGCAGCGGAATATTGTTGTCAGGATTGGTGCTATATCATGTATATGTAATGCAAGTTCCTTCAAGACTCGTGGTGTTATATTATCTGGCCCAGCTGCCTTGTTTGGATTTAGGTTTTTTAGTAGTTTGTACACACCATTGATTGAAAGATGTAGTCAAAATTTGTTTTGGCCTCACTAGCCACCATTATGTTAAACTTATAGAAATTATATTCAATTGCTTGTAACTGCATACACCCTATTGCATTATAATCCAAAAGGTTCCTCTTGATTACTGTTGTAAAGACCTGAGGGATATCAAGTAATTGTTCACTAAACATGCTAAATAGTTTCTTGTCTTTTTTTCAGCCGGAAGATTTGATGAATATGCAGCATTGTAATCTGTTATGTTTACCTGAGAATTATCAGATGAAATATTATTTTTACCATGGATTATCTTGGCCACAGGTAATTGATATGAATTGAATATCTGAAAAAAAAAGTATACATGTATAGCATTTCAAAGCTTGTCGTTGAAAGTCATTCTAAAGAGTTCCCCATGGGAACCGACAAGTAGTGCAATTGCCTGCGTAATGATACATACATGTAACTATCATGACAATTTTTTAACTCTTCCAGCTGAAGGTACAAAAAAGAACACTGAGTAGTGTATTATATATCTGATTAATTCATTACATATACAAGGAATTTCAGTAAGAAACCACTTTCTGGTGTGGAGTGATTAACTGTGCTTGCTGGTGATTTGTGGTGATAATGTTCAGATTTACAACTCTGTGATAAAGTTTCTAAGATGCAGAGAGGAATTTCAAAGAGATTTTCTAACCGTCACTAGCATTCACATTCAGCAAATCACCCCTAAAATGCTTTATGACTGAATCAAAATCATAATTAAATATATAAAAGTAGAAACTATAAATAGCAAAAATATTATTAGCCTTGCAAGATCTACAAAATTGCTTTAACATGTTTAATGACTTAAATCGTCGGTGAGGCCAAATAAAAAAATGCATCTATTTCCGCTAACCCTACCTACCCTAATTTTTAGTGCCTACCCTAGCACTTTTTATGCCATTTTGGTACAAGCACTGTTAAAAGTCTGATTCCCTAGTAGTAACCAGCTAAAAAATGTTTGTAAAATAAAATGATATTGCCTACCTACCTACCTACCCAATTTTTTTCAGCACGTTAGCGGAAACACGTGTATTTTATTTTTTGGCCTGACTCCTTAAATGAGTTTTTATCTATCATTTTAAAAACTAATAGAAAGGTAGAAACTGTAAGCATAAAAAATTATCAGCAATACATAATATTTTTTTTATACATGTAGGTGAGTAATTCAGGCTCTGAGGACCAGGAGCCTCTTACTTGCATAAAATTATAATATCCTTGATCAATTTCTCATTTTTTGTTTGTTTATCAACAACAGCATTGGATAAATTCTTGCTATAGTTTCAGAACCTGCAGTCATGAAATTACCCACATTTTCAAACGCCCGTTTACGGAACGTATTATGGTATACTTTTATCCGTCTGTCAATTGTCAAAATGTCCGACATTAACCATGTTAACTAAAAAAATAGCTTAAACCAATTTGCATGAAACTTTGGTGAATTGTTTATATCTATTGACGTGAGCTCCCTATCATTTTTAACCAGATTTTCGTAGGAATAATCGGTTATTGATTTGGGGATGTACAGCGGGCGAGCAGGCGGGCGGGCAGGTGGCTGCCAAACAGTGTCCGTTCATTAACATGAAAACGCTTTGACGAAATCTTTTCAAATTTAGATATACTGTTTCCTGTGAAAATGAAGGTTAAGTTCAATTTTCACAATTTTAGCTTTTCTCGTTGTTGATTTGTCGAACCTTTTAGTAGTTAAAAATTAATATTTATTATATGATTGCAATTGAGTTTTTTCCCTTTGAACAGAAATTGTGATTTGCAAATATCATTTTCATTAGATAATAAGCTATTTTTATTAAAGGATATATTTCATTACATTAGTCATTACATTGTCATGATTGTGTAGATAAAATTGTTGACATTGATAGATAAGTTGTAGATCTATATTAGTTTGTGACAAATGAAAGAGAAAATATTGGGAACTATTAATTATATATATAAGGTTTGATTACACTAAGTCAGTCAGGGGTACTACTTGTACAAGTAATTTTTATTTACTTGAAGAAGTAAATAATAATATACTTATATAAGTTAATTATAATGTTTGAATAATCTCCCCTTTATTTTCTCAAAAATTTACTTGTATACATGTAAGTAATTTTTTTTTACAATACCACAAAAATGCTCAAGTTTTGAGATGTAAAAACATGCCTTTAACAATTTTTCTCAGGTTAGCTCATAATTTTTTATTAGAGTTCAATGTTTCATCTCATTAATTCAACAAAGAAACTGATTGCGCAAAGATCTTAAGTATTTGCGCAAGGCCTTCAAAAATTGCCCCTTGGGGGCATGTAAATGAGCAGTCTTCTGAAGATAACAGACAAATGAGATTTTCATTGTCCATGAAATTACACTTAAATCATTAGTAAAGACATCTGCAAAGGACAGACAATTAAAAATTCTATTGGAGCAAAGAAATCCTAAGAATTCAAGAAAAGAAGATAGGATGACTTTTTTACTTGTACAAGTAAAAAAATCTGAATGTCTAAGGGACATAACTTAGCCAAAAAATAATTTACCTATACAAGTAAATAAAACACACATACCAGTATATAAGTATCCTACAAGTTTACTTATATAAGTATATAAATATTTACTTCTTCAAGTAAATAAAAAATACTTGTACAAGTAGTACCCATGACTGTAAGTTTTTTAAAATAATTTTCACCTGTAATTAGATAACAAAACATCTGGTGAATTTCTTATCATACAATTATAATTGGAGTGACAGATTTATTTGAAAATTTTCTGTTTCCTAAGTGTTTTGATGATGATAAAATCTGTAGGACAGTATAAATAAAGTATGAAATTTACTGTTCATTATTAGACATTTTGAAGATAATAATAGATAAGTCCTATATATTCTTAATAGATATTGTATTAATGATAAATGACATTTTGGATTTATTTTTTTTTCTTTTCTTTGGTAAATTGTTTGAAGAATTTGGTGGTAGGTTTGTTTGTTATTCTGTATAAACTTATTTTCTGAATGTTATATATATATTTTTTTTTGATGAAGCGAACTCCTTTAAAAACTAAGCTTAGTTCATCTATTAACAAACATATATTTAGATTTCTGATTTTGGGCCCAGTTTAAGTTGGTCCAAATCGGGGTTCAAAATTTTTGAGGTTGAAAGGGTCCTAAATTAAACTTTTGTTTAATTTCATTTGAATTCTTGGGGTTCTTTGATATGCTCAGATTCTAACAATGTACATAGATTTTGGACCATAATAGGTAAATGTCCGATTTCAAATTTTTCAGTTCTTTGTCCACATTCATTTTGTGTCACAAACCTATGCTGTGTCAAATATTCAATCACAATCCAAATTCAGAGCTGTTTTAAGCTTAAATGTCGTGATCATACTTGCTCAACTGTTCAGGGTTTGACCTCTGCAGGAAAATCTGGTTTGCTGTCACTCTGACAGCCACTTATTTATAAATTTTAGATTTTATGTTTTCGAGTTACGTAGTTTTATTCATTAAAAAGGGGGATTTTTCAGTTTATTGGACAATAACTTCAAAACACTTTCACCAATTTGCAAGAAACTTTGGTGAATTGTTTATATCTGTTGACATGAGCTCCCTTTCTATTCTTATAACTTTTGGATTTTACATTTCCGAGTTATGGGGTTTACTCATTAAAAAAAGCGGGATTTTCCAGTTGTCGGACAATAACTCAAAAATGCTTTCAGCAGTTTTCATGAAATTTTGGTGAATTGTTTATTTCTATTGACGTAAGCTCCCTTTCCATTTTTATGAATTTAAGATTTTACGTTTACAAGTTATGGGATTTTATTCATAAAAAAGGGTGATTTTCCACTTTTCGGACAATATCTTTAAAGTGCTTGAGCAATTTTCATTAAACTTTGGGGACTGGTTTATATCTATTAGGATAACCTCCATTTAGTTTTTCATAGATTTCTGATATGACATTGAGAAGTAATTGAACTTTATTCTTTGAAAACGCGAAGGGTGTATCATGCACTCATGGCGCAGCTGTTTATTAACTGTAAATTTACAATATTCCTCAAGATTTAAAAAAAACATGAGATTGATACTTCCAGAATGTAGGATCACATGTTAAAGCTGGCACCCATAGCTTCATACATAAAGCATAGAAACGAGAAATAATCAGCAACCACAATATCTACAAAAATACTGAAATGACCGGATCTTTTGGATTACTCTTGAGGAATTATGGCCATTACATTTGTAATTGGTGATCTCCAAATTTATATTGAATAAGTTGAAACTGGGAACAGCAAATTGATTTGACAGCAATACAAGATCTACAAAAATGAGAATACAAAACATATGTAAATTTTCTATTTCAGCTATCCTATGTAGCAGAAGATGAAGATGGTAAAATTGTTGGTTATGTACTAGCTAAAATGTAAGTGTTAAATGTCAGTTTGTTCAAATACATTTAAGAAATACATTAAAACAAAGCAGTACAGAATGGCCTCTATTTTATGACACCTAAATGGCTGTTTTTATATTTATGTACAATATACAAATAAGATGTGGTTCATGGATTCAATTCCAAAAACTTTAAAAATAGGAATTTGCTGATTCTCTGTCAAGCACAGAACATTTAGGAGTAGAATCAAAGACGAAGTTTAAATGATGTGTTGCATGTCCTATGGAACAAGTATGGAGTGTTACCTTGTGACCTAGCATGTTAAAAAAGTTAATCAGTGTGTCAGTCAAATAAGTAATTTTCATATTCTTGACTTGGTGAAAGCACAGAAGTTGGGATTAAGCTACATTTTAGTTTAATGAATACTGAACTCTCCAGCTAAAATCTATATTAATTTTATTTGAATTATTTTTTTAGGGAAGAGGATCCTGAAGACCAGGTACCACATGGTCACATAACATCACTGGTACGTATGAAGTAGGATAGTTGCAATGTGAACGGAAATATTTTTAGATACATTTGCACATTTACAGATCTGCAGCTGACATTTCTGCTACTTATTTCCGATTTTGTTGATGTCTTTCCAAAATAATTGTTAAATTGTTTGCTTTCAACATGTTAAATGGAACATATTAAAATGCAGGTCAATTTTGATTTTCACTATTGCTAAAGTAACTACAGTTTTGCCTCTTAATTTTCTGCAAATGGTAAACGCTGTTTCTGGATAATAACAGTCCATGGAAAAGGGTCCTCTTAATTTCCAGTTTTCAATGTTGTTTACATACCATGCAATACAGATCAAGATTGTTTCCATTGTTGTGGCAATGACCCATCAAAAAGATTCCATTACATTGTCTCAAATTGTTCAAAAAATTTGCTATTTCCAACCAGAACACATTTGAAATGTTGGGGAGCATCAATATGACCTTATAGGTTGCACTTTGTAAATACAGCTGTTTCTCAAACCACGCCTCTTTTGGGGAGATATAGAATATTCATAGATAATTAATTTTGTTTACATACTGGTTCCCAGTTATGATCTCTATGTTTCATCTCATAGAGACATAACTTGGGAATGTTACCAGTAAATATACATATGCATATTGTTTATACTGAAATCTGTGGTAATCCTACAGTCAAGGTAGGGATAGTTAAGCAATTTAGTGTTAGTTTAAACTCTTAGAAGTTCAGGGCATATAAACGTTGAAAATATGCCGCACAGCCCTATATTTTGAAAAAAATTGTAGTGCATATGAACTTTCCATTCTAGGATATGATTTTTTTCAAAACTTCATAGTAAAAGTGGTACAGTTTTAACCGTAAAAGGACTTCCTATGGGAAATTGCATTGTCAATATTTACATAGTACAACCTATATTGGGTGAAAAAAGAGAACATACAGAATTTAACCAAATTTGGTTTATCTCACAGATTTTAAAGAAATTAACTCAAATATGAAGTTTTATAAATATTTCATGAAGATTGAGAAAATCCTGGGCCTTAACTATGATGACTCAGCATAAATTGACAGTTTACAGTATGCATAGTTTACTTAAAGCCCTGAATGCAAAATAAATTCATAATATATGCATATTTGTAAGTTAAATTGTTTAGAAGTGCTTATATTTACTCTTCGCAGTCATTGAAACTCATAGATCCTTCCTGAATATTATTGATGGAGTGTTTTTGTCATGTCGATAACCCAAAAGTAAGCATTAACGCCTAAATCTGCTTTTTTGTCACCGCGGCAGAAAAAATACAAGCTAGAAATACAAAAATATCTCAACAAAACTTACAATAGTGTGTTCTATCCTGAATATGTACTAAATATTCCATATTGCTAGAAACAGCAGAATAATTTAGGAAATTTGAGGCCCCAGGGGCAAAAAACAGAGAAAATTGCCTACCCCTGGGTCATAAAACAAATAATGTAACTTGTAAATGCTATGATTTTATGATTTTAAAGGTCTTTATATAGAAAACAATAACTGTGCTTGGAAGTTATGCAAAAATCAGATGTTAGCAGTCATTTCTATAAAATTTTAAGTGAATTTATACATCAGACTGGTATCTGCATACATACAACTATTGCAAATATGGCTTTGTTTTAACACTTCTAGCTCATATATTAGCTAAATTATGTCAGATATATGGTTAGAGATGATACTGTTGTGACAAGAATTCTAAACTGACCATTTGAGGCAGAAATTATAAACTTTCATTGACAAATAGGCATACAGTAAAATGTGGACTGGCGACACAGGCAGGATTGGATACTTTATATAATCTTGAATGTTTGAATGATTGACTGCTAAACATTACATTTATAGTATTCTGAAATGCTTTCAATATATTATCAGAACAGTTTTAAACAGGTTCTAGGCATTTCATGTCAGAAAACATGCAAATAGGGTAAGCTGGCAATAATTAAAGTCTTGTATTCAAATTCTTAAAAAAAATGAAACAGGGGAGGGGGTATAAAATGTACAGTAAAAGAAAACTTAGAGTTTATGCAGTGATTTCTTTAAGGCTATAATTCTCATAAATAAGTATTAATGTGAGAAAAAGTGTTTTTAGAGAGTTTTCTATTGGAATAAATGTTTGTATAGGTTGCACTTTGTAAATACAGCTGTTTCTCAAACCACGCCTCTTTTTGGGGAGATATAGAATATTCATAGATAATTAATTTTGTTTACATACTGGTTCCCAGTTATGATCTCTATGTTTCATCTCATAGAGACATAACTTGGGAATGTTACCAGTAAATATACATATGCATATTGTTTATACTGAATTCTGTGGTAATCCTACAGTCAAAGTAGGGATAGTTAAGCAATTTAGTGTTAGTTTAAACTCTTAGAAGTTCAGGGCATATAAACGTTGAAAATATGCCGCACAGCCCTATATTTTGACCTTTGAAAAAAATTGTAGTGCATATGAACTTTCCATCCTAGAATATGATTTTTTTCAAAACTTCATAGTAAAAGTGGTACAGTTTTAACCGTAAAAGGACTTCCTATGGGAAATTGCATTGTCAATATTTACAGAAATGCAACCTATAACTTGTAATGCTTTCTGGTACGAATCAAGCAATTGTACTGTTATCAACTTGTTTGCTTATCAGTATGATCAATATGTCTTGAACAAAGAATTTTAAAGTGATAATTTTTATAAGCTTTGCAAAATACTTTATGCATTGAAATAGAATCTCATTTTTCAGTGTTGTTGGATTGAAGAAGTACCAGTTTTTATCTATGCTTAAAAATATAACAATGGTCAGAAATTAATTCAGTTTAAAAAAAAAATAATTATAATTTCAGGCAGTCAAAAGATCTCATAGACGATTAGGTTTAGCACAGAAACTAATGGACCAAGCATCTAGAGCTATGGTTGAATGTTTCGATGCACAGTATGTCTCTTTGCATGTCAGGAAGAGTAACAGAGCTGCTTTACATTTATACACCAACACACTCAAATTTTCGTAAGTATGGAATATGAATGCATCCTATAGTACAATATGGTCCCTTTGTACAGTGGATTCATTATTAAATTATTACTTGATGGAAATCAATTCGATTTCTTGGGAATAGGTCAACAAAGTACAAAATTTTTATAGGCATGTATGCAGAATTTGGAAAAACCGCAAAATCAAATATGCACAAAAATACCTTTTTTCCTTAATCCACGAAAAATTGGTATGCACGAAAATAAAAGAATCCATTGAATACAAAAATGAATAATCATGAAAACCTAAACTTGCAACATGGTCTTCAACAAATTAATTTTGTTATGCTTAAAATGTTGTGTAATTTGATTATCATCATGTTACTGGTATTCCAATATGTATTAATTTAAACATCAAGAAAGTTTCATTAAATGATTTAATTTTGTACTGTTTCTCTGTATTTTTAACTGATTATTTTTCTTGTTTCAGAATCATAAGATGTGTTTATATGCATGTAGTTTTAGTCTAAAAAAATCTACTTGATTATGACATATGTATGACCTACTGTCATCCTTATAACATAAAAAAGCACAAATTTTAGTTAGGGACTTTATTTTCATGTATTTTGTAGACAGAGGTAATGAAACCAACGAAACATTTAATCTTAAAGGAGAATGAATTTCATATACTTGAAACCATTAAAACTTATCCCCTGAAAATCTATTTTTCTTCAACAAACCACAAAACTTAACCACTAGACACAGTGTTCCCGCCTGCCCTAAATAGAAGGGCGGCCCGCCCTTGGTGCCCTTACCCCCGCCATTCTGCCCTCCAAAGCAAAAGAATGCACCCCTCTGCCTTTTCAAAAAAATAAAATTTCCAAATTTCATGCCTATCTGCGTTTCCGGTAAAATTGTTACCTGATTGGTAACACTAATTAACTGACAATGGGATTAAGTTAAATACCTAATGCCTTTGGCAGTTTTATCACCTTTGTTAATGATTGTTTACTGCTAATTAGTGGATTTAAGATAATTGAACAAATACTAGATATTTAATACAGAATTAAATGTCCACATGATGTTTACGCACAGCATGTACACCTGAAAAACTTTATTTTATTAGGCATAATATAAAAAATAAAATCTAAAACAATTTTAAAGGCATACACAGTTTTGACTAAATTGGTAAAAATGTTTTGTTTCATAATAATGAGTATGAAGTTTAAAGAAGAATCAAAGAAATTTGTACTTTGAACATAACAAGATTGCACCACTTCCTGTTTTACTTCTTGTATCTTATAATCCTCCTTTTATAGGAGCACTCAACAAATGCTTTTATTTTTAACAATGATGGAGAAAAAAAATAACTGTTTATACCTTCTGCAATATATGCAATATATTATTGCATCAATATAATATGATCATCTCTGGTCTCACCTGTTATATTTATAAAACTCCTTACTTAGGAGCACTTTGGTGTGCACTTAAAAATACTTTTTTGTAACAGTTGAAATGATAATAAATAACTTTAATAACAATATACTATATGATTGATCAAGCAATTTAAATGTAGATAATTTAATTAGATTAAACATTCAATTTTGCATGTATAACTCCATCTTTCAAAACTACTTGTTAATTTTTATAGACTGGTATAAGTTATAAAAGATTGAAATTTCTGATGATTATTTTCCTTACCAAATGTACAAGTTTGTTTAGATTAACATCAAAATGATATGCTTTGCTTCATGGTATGATAATCTGATAAAAAAATTCTTACTGGAACCAACATCAAGAACACATTAATTTCTGAATATGGTTTAAATACAACTAATGTTCTCCAGCTGAGCCTAGCAATATTCAAGGTAATTTATACACTGTCCAACAGTGCCCTTACAATCTGGGTTATTACGCTAAAGTGCCCTTTCAGACAACTAGCACCCTTCTGCCCTGAGATTCAAGCTGGAACACTGAGACAATTTAATTTCTACAATAATTCAAGACCATATCATACTTTTTAATTAAAATTGAGAATGGAAATGGGGAATTGCATGTTTATGTCAGATTTTTTATTATCATTTTATGATAACTGGCAATTAACATCAAGCAGCAGAAAAAAGAAAAGGATATTTAGGGATATATTTTTTATATACCACACATTGCTATAGATGAACATGCAAAGTTTGAAATTTAACAAATAGCAGGAAGACATGTCATTATACCTTGATACATTTTTCTGACTCTGTGGCAATTAGTCATTACTCTTCTTCCTGAATGCCACAGTTGGTGTTTAAGCAGCAGATACCAGCTTTAAAATCTTTAAATTTGCTTGACCATTAATTTAACCCACAACCTATTGCTTCTAGGAAACAATTTAGGCAGCTTTATACTCAACTTTTTAAAATTAACCATATGATGTTTATTTTTTAGGATAAGTGAGATAGAACCTAAATATTATGCTGATGGGGAGGATGCCTATGCCATGAGAAGAGTTTTAAAAGACTTTAAAGATAAGGTAAAAGTGAACAAAATATTATAAACTGTATACTCTGGATTTATTAAATTATTCATGGAATACTTATTTTTATTAAATCCACAATTCTTTGAAAAGGCAAAATATACTTTATTGGAAGATATTTCAAATTTGATGACATTTTGTATGCATTAAAATTCCTTAAACTGCATTTCAATATAAAAAAATGATAATGTAGTATTTATAATTCCAGAGATAGTCAATACAAAATTTGTGAAATATGTCAATGAATGTATAGAATTTACAATTACAAATATGCATTTGTTCACTGTAAATTGTGATTTTTTGAAAATCTTTCCACAGAATTATTTTTTAAATATTGTACATTTCTTTATAATGGTTCATATCTTGAGGAAGAAAATTAATCATTATTTAACAATTATTTAACTGCTTGGAAATATATTATCAACAAATTAAAAACCATTATGAAAAAAAGCAATGAGGACATTACTTTATTAATATGAAAGCTACTAACATGAATTCCCATGAAAACAGAGTTAGAGACAAAATCACTACCTTTAGCCCATTAGGGCTATTCCATTAAAATGTATGTGGGAGGGTAGGAAGGGAAGTTTATTATTGAATGTGGGTCATGGTCTTTTTTCAGTATGCGTCTATTACCATTATGCAAAATTATCTAAAAAATGGTTCTTGATTGTAGGGATATTTTGAAAGTCCCTTCCTACCCTCCTACATACATTTTAATGGAATAGCCCTTACCACATTTCATATTTAATTTCAATTCTGATATTTTTTATTTTTCAGTCAACCAAAGATACATCTTCTGTAAAAGCAATAAAAGATACCCCTGGTAAAAAAGAGAAATCAAAAGAGAAGACAGACACCACAAATAAAGAGACTAAAGAATCATAAATAAGCCGGTTTTAGTAATTTTTACAAACATTATCTCAGCAGTGTATTAATTTGTTGATTTTCATCTTCAACCAACTAATGATTTCCAGTTTCAATATTCTTGAAAAGAGTTCTTCTCTATTCCTTTAATTTTTTGATAAATTTGTCTAAATGACAAAAGACTGTAATGAAAATCGTATAAACAATATTTGTTGTGGCCTGATATTTCTCATGACTTTTTTTTACTTCAGATTATTTATGGATTTCAGGACTGCCTTTATTTATACATTCTTAACAATTTGTATTTGCTAAGTTGTGTAAAAGTGGATTTGTTTATTTTGGTTGAAATATTGAGTTTCTGCTTGATTTAAAAGCTTATTAAACACAGTAGTCTGAATCTTGAAATGTCAAGAAGTCAATGAACAAATATATATATTTTATTGTTTGGGATAGTTTATAATCGTAAATTGCCAGGAATTTAAAACTTAATGAACCTCCAGTTCTAAAAGTTTGCTTTTCTTATAAATGTATGTATGTTTTACATGTATTTCATAAAAAAATTATAAAAGATTTTGTTGTTTTTCCCTTTATATTTGAATGCCTCAAAGTCTATAAATATACTGCAGAAAACTTACAACATCCATACTTGTTCTAAATAACCATTTTGGAATTACAACTTTTTCATTCAGTCAATTTTAGTTGTATGTATAAATCTTGCGATTGTTCTGCAAGAAACAGGAAAAAGAAAACTATGATACACGATTCCATAAATAGAACTCAGTCAATTGAAATAGGACAAATTTTTTGCAAGGAAGCTTGATTTAGGGCCTCACCTTAGATCTTCTTGAGTTACATAGAAAAAGTTTTTTTTCAACTCTCATTGTTTATACTGGGGTAAAGATTGCATTGTGTGGCTGGCTTGATTGCTATCAATTTTCCAGACTTAGACATTTTTGGAGCCCTTTATAGCTTGCTGTTCGGTGTGAGCCAAGGCTCTGTGTTGAAGGCCATACTTTGACCTATAATGGTTTACTTTTACAAATTGTGACTTGGATGGAGAGTTGTCTCATTGGCACTCATACCACATCATCTTATATCTATTTATCACTTCCTTTGAGATGAAAAGAAACCCAAAGTGCACAACATTCTATACATCCTATCCATGAACATTTCAAGAAATTTATCTAGCAATATATACTCAGATATACAAGTGACAAAATTATGTATGTGTGTGTGTATAACCATAGTTGTCAAGAAAATTACATAAATTCTGCATGGTGTCTGTTCCAAAAATATAAATGAAAAAATTATCATAGTTAACATAATATTTAAAACTGGAGTTATCTGCCTTTGTCCATAATTGAAGTTGAACCAGTCAAATACTCACTGAATAAACTGTGATTAAGGATCATACAAAACAGAAGAAAAATAAGAATCTTAACTCATACATGACCTGTGAGTTATATGATTTATGGGTTCCATTTTACCTTGATAGACTTATTTATAATGGTTATTGTTATACTGCTGTTGTTGCGTAGAACTATCAATTCTTTTTTACAGATAAAGACACTGAATTCTTTGTTATATGGTAATTACATACAAAGATTTAAATTGGGAAATTCACAAGATAATGTTTATCTGTATTGGTGATAAAATGATTTTAATCAGATTTGGTCATAATTTTTCTTTCATATTTCTGCTTATTTTATTTGGAGATGTCTCTTCATTTGAAAACTTGCTCATTATTGAGTCCTGTGGGTTTTCCTTGCTGACTTTTATTGTGTTTTCTTTCCTGTTGAAAAAATATGTGATCAATCAAACTATCAAAATATAATTACATTATATTATGGAAAATTTTAATATGATACAGAGGCCAATAAAAACAAACATTACTATAACAGAAAGAAAAAAAGATGAATAAACTAATAACTGTCAACAAAGACCAGTGTACACAAGGTCCCTTTCATAATCAAGTATTGTTGCACTAACAATATATTTCTCAAAAATTAATTTTATTTCAATGCACATTCAACTTTTGCAATGCTGTTTCCAACCTTGTGCACAGCTATAAAATAAAATGAATGGAAATCAAGCATGCTAATCATAATATGTGATAAGCCAAATTCTGTTGTGCTCATTTATGACACAGACCTGCCAAGTTTTTCGGATTCCCTGAAAAATTCCTACCAAGTTCTTCCTTTAACAGCAGCCAAGAATCAGTCAAATCTAGTTACAAACTTGACTGTCAAAATTTTTACGCTATTGTGGAAATTATTTGTATCATGAATGTGACTAGCTGGGAGTGTGAGCTGTAACACAAAGAGTAAACTTGCCCTTTTGATAACCATGTGCCAAGAACCCATAAATGGCTTAAGTGTTGATGCATGTTCTCTTTTATTTAGAAGTCCATATTGACATCCATGAAACACCATCAACCATTGATCTCAACATCTTGAAAATTAATGATCATCAACCATTTAGACCAAACCTGTGAGATCTTTCCTTATAGTTGTTGCCCTAAATGCAGAATTTTACCTTATTTACTTTTGCCTTTTTTCTTGAAAACTAAAATAGATAGGTAGAAACTAATAACAGCATAAGTGATCAGCAAGACAAGATGCACAAATATAGCAACATGGCTAAAAATCTTCAGTCAACTCCTTTAAGGAGGTTAAATTGTCCTTTACTGAGAATTTTTAGTTTTTTTGCCCATTATCTTTAAAACTATAATAAATAACGAGAAGCTTTGAATAGCAAACTCATTTTGCCTAGTATCTTGAAAACTATAAATAGAGAAACATTAGGTAGCAAAAAAGATTAGCAATTACAGATCTGTAAGATGCTGACCAAAATTGTCACTCAATATAGGAGAGAAACTCACAAAAAAAAAATCACCATAAAAAAAGAAGAGAATTTTAGTCATGAATTACATTTTAGTCTATATATAATGTTGGAAAGTGGCCATTGATGAAGTTGCACATAGATCAAGTTTAGTGAAACACAGGTTTTGTAGAGTCTTCGCAAGAGAGACGAAAGATACCAAAGGGGCATTCAAACTCATACGTTGACAATAAATTGACAACTAAAAAAACACAACATAGAAAACTGAAGACTGAGCAACAAGAACCCCACCAAAAAGTAGGGGTGATCTCAGGTGCTCTGGAAGGGTTAGCAGATCCTGCTCCACATGTGGCACTTTAATTTGACAACATTATGAACATCCAATGTTGTCTTGAGTAATCATAGTGAAGCTTGTAAATAGCCAATAAAGCCTATATTTTTCATCATTTTGGGATATATAGTACCATTCTTCAGACTCTATCTTTTTGACGACATCTCCCTGCTATTTTTCTGTATCTCCTCTTAATAATAATAAGTATATTTAGTTGCCAGTGTTTTTTATCATCATGTTCTTTTTGTTGTTTTTGTCGAGCGTGCGACTTCTGTCACAGAAAGCTTGACATAGGGATTGTGATCTGGCGGAAGCAGCGTTAACTAACTACTTAAAAGCTTAATATTTCATGCTTCATACTTTGTATATAGATGTCTTATGTTAAGAAGTTTCCGTCTGTCATATGTCCTTTGTCTTTGACCTCATTTTCATGGTTCAGTGACTACTTGAAAAAAAAATTGAGATATTTTGTAATGTTAATTTCTCTCTTATTGTGAGGAATATGATAACTATATTTGGTATGTGCGTACCTTGCATGGTCCTCATGCCTGTCAGGCAGTTTTCACTTGACCTGGACCTACTTCATGGATCAGTGAACAAGGTTAAGTTTTCATGGTAAAGTCCATATCTCAGATACTATACGCAATAGGTCCTCTATATTTGGTGTATGGAATGATTGTAAGGTGTACATGTCCAACTGACAGGTGTCATCTGACCTTGACCTCATTTTCATGGTTCAGTGGTTAAAGTTATGTTTTCCTGGTTAAGTTTGTTTTTTAGATACTATATTTAATACATCAACTATATTTGTTCCATGAAATAATTGTAAAGTGGACATGTCTGTCTGGCAGGGTTCATCTGACCTTGACATCATATTCATGGTTTATTGGTCCATATAAAGTTTTCATGGTTTGGTCTGTTTCTTGTATACTATAAGCAATAGGTCAGCTGTATTCAATGCATGGAATGATTGTAAGGTATACATGCATTTCTGGCTTGGTTTATCTGACCTTGAACTCATTTTCTTGGATCATGTTAAGTCGATGTGATACTTAAAGTAAAACTTTTTATTTAGGGCTATCAACATAAAATCAATGGTAGTAAAGCAGGCGAGACATTTCAGCATGTGCACTCTTGTCTTTAGGTTTTATATACTTATGCTGTTAGAAATTCCATTAAAGCGACAATATTAGATGGTTAGAGACTAAAAGCTGTTGTCAGAAACAATGATTAATTCAATGAAAAATGCCAAAAGCAAAATTAACAAATATGCATGTGCTGTGCTAAGTACACACACCCTTCCCTAGATTTTCCATCAAACATGATGGAATTTTGTGATGGAAAAAATGAGACGGGTCTAAATCACTCACCTGCTGATACGGCACCTGCTGATTTTGCACCATTAACCTGCCAATTTTGCCCCTATGTAGAACAACTAAAGTTGCTTCCCTTTGTACATTAACCGATTTTAAATTGAAAATTAATGTCATGTTACTTTATTAATTAAGTTAAGATAAATAACAGCTAGAAATTAATCATGTAAAATCGCAGGAAAGTATAATTTAAATGGTTTGTATAATTTTGAATACACTGTTGAACATTTTGCCTTTTTTTATAGTTCAAAATAAGAATACATCAACGATTTGTAAGTCGTACTATACAAATCCTTGAATACATATATTAATTTGGAAAACAATAATTTATTAATCTTGCAAAGTTAAAAAAAAATAGTGAAATGAAATTATTTAAACTTATACATGTAGCAGAAAAATAACTTATATGACTGTTAGGTTATTTTTTTTCTTAAAATATTATTGTTTGGACACCACTAATAGAGGTTAAGCATACAATTAATATAATTTCACAATGATTTTATGATTAATGCAAAACGATATATTTCAGTAATTTACCAGGGGTAAAAAGGGGGAGGTAGTCATTTTGAAATTTGACTACATTTATGATGATCATGATTATCATGATACATGTAGGGTATCCTTATACTTTCCATGTAATCATGGTGTAAATGTATTTTCTAATTTGTATAAACACATACAATTTTATTACTTATTTTAATCACATATATTTTGATAGAGGTACCTACGGAAGCGTATACCGGTCAAGCGTTATTAGTAATTTCGATGTAAACTTGTGTTATTTTACGATAATTAATGCCTTAAAAGATGAAAATATAGGAATATTATATAACAAATATGTCGTTCTTAATTATAGTGTTGCTTTAGTTTTCTTTTGGTGTTACTTTATAATATTAAACAAATTTAATTAAACTGTTGATATTATTATAATTGTTAACTTGTGTTATTTTATGAGAATTAATGCTTTATAAGATGATAATATTGGACTATTATAAAACGATTATGCCATTATTAATTGTAATGTTGCTTTAGTTTT